GAACATCCTGAGGATCTTGGGCTCACCCGCAACGGTGAGTCTCCTGCAAGCATTTGGCAAGTTTCGGATGTGCGTTCTTTGATTTCCTCTGCGGGTTCTACTTGGGCTGTGCATCAGTGTGAGTTTGGCGGCGACACCGCCAAGCCCACGAGGTTGCTTTCAAACTTGCATGCAACCATGCCTTTGCATATGGGTTGGCCCAGATTTCTTTCAGATGGACAATATGATGGCCCCTTGGGGCGCTGCACGCATGGGTGGCACGAGCCGCTGATAGGTTGGCAGGAGGGAGAGTATCGTACTTCAGGTGCCGAGGCGTATATCCGCCCTCGTTATGCAAGTATCTGGCCACGTTCTTGGTCAGCCCACTGCGTCTAGAAAGTGTTAGCATTCAGGATGCCTCTTCATTGGTGCCCCTGCTTGATCTGGAGGAGCCTCATTTGGCCGCGAACACCCACAAAGGTGGGGCCTTCTTCGCCGGGGCCTACGCTAAGGGCGGGCTCGTGGGCCTTCGCAAGGCCTGCCAGCTACAGTCGCGTTGCACCAAGGTCTTCGCACATCTCTTGGCCCGCCTCTTTCCGGGCTTCTATTTCACATCCTTGGCTGTGTTCGTGAATGTCCCAACAGCCATGCATCGTGACGTGCATAACGCCCCCTACCCTAACATAATCGTGGCCCTCAGTGATTTCAAGAATGGGCAAATCTGGCAGGAGGACCCTGCCGGGCAAGTTTTGCGACAAGTCCAGGGCTCCGACAGGCCAGGAGTGCTTCTTGACGTGGGGCGCCAGCCGGTTGTCTTGCATGCTCATACTTCTTTTCATGCTACTGAGCCCTGGGAAGGAAATCGTATAGTGTTAGTGGGATTTTCGGTGCGACACATGCACCTTCTTACTGACGCCAACAGGCAATTGCTTCGTGAATTGGGTTTTCGCTTGGATTCTGCCTCCGTTGCACAAGGGGGAGAGGGAGCAGCATCACGCGAAACAGCTGCTCGCAGTTATAAGGTTTCCTTGTTCGCAGGAAAGGAAAAGCATCAGGCGAAACAGTAGCTCGCAGTTCTCAGGTTTCCGTGCCGCCCACAGGAAAGGCAGCAGCATCAGGAGAAACAGTAGCTCGCAGTTCTCAGGCATCTCATCCGGGGGGGCTTGCAGAGTTGATGACTATGGGGATTGATTTCCAGAGCACTGAAGGTCTTGTGGTGGTGTCAGACACAGAGTCAGAACCTGAGGAAGGGTCGTCGGCCGTAGTAGGTCCTCCTCCCCCTGTTGCCACTCCGAAGGAGCCCGGGTCGTGTAGCCAGGCCGGTAAGGACACTTCGGTTGCCCCGTTTGACCCCGTGACGAGCCGAGCTTTCGGCCAGCCTTTGACATGTCGTCACTCCAAGGAGTACCACGAGTTCGTGGACGGCTTGGGCTTGTGTTCTCCCGGGCGATGGCGGCCGGAGCAAAGGGGTAGGCTGTGCAGTTGGCGGGAATCTAATCATGCCGAGGGGTTGCAGCGCATAATTCGCAACTTTGTGATTTCGGAGCTTGATGATGTTAAGTTGATGACGTGCAAGCTTGCGGCTGGTCGATTAGAGTCCTCCCCTTTCAAGCCTGAGGCGATGCAGCGGCTTCGGGAAGAACTGGCGTCCATGACACCGGACCCCAAGTTGTCTCTGGTGGTTCCTGAGAGGCAGCCGTTCTACTTGCATCTTCTGTCGCAATCCCTTCGGGAGCTTGGGGATCCGGATTGGGCAATCTTGACGCAGGGTGAGGAGTGCTTCGCGCGAGGTGTGCCCCTGGGGGATGAGAAGCCGCTCGAGCGAGTTCCCCAGGTCTTTCGCGAGAGGACTAAGGATAGGCGTCTTGATGAGAGTGCATACAACCCGGACATGGAAAACTATTCCTCAGATGAGCTCTCGGGCGATCAGCTGGAAGCACACTTCCGCAAAGAAGAGGCACTGGGAAGGATGGTGCCTAGCACGGAGTCTGCGATTGCCGAGGAG